ATCTACAGGTATTTCCCAACCCGGAGTTGGCAACCATGTAATCGGCTATGGTACTACTTTCCAGACCCTTGGAACCCAGAAAACATGGCACAGGAGGAGGTGCTTTTCTACCTTAGCTGCCATTGCATAACACCCCCCTCCTCCTCAAAAAATAAGTCAGAGGTGGAGAGAACCGTATCTGTTACCATGAGACTGTCCTCCCATTCTACCCACTTGGGGCAGCAAAATGACTTGAGACAGCCCTGCCTTATAGCTAAGCAGAAGGAAAGAAATATGGCTTGCCTCCCTCCATTTTCCGCTTCCCTCTGCCGCCCCACCAGCCACAATCAGGACACTCATCTAGCTTCCTTCTAGATCCTGTTGTATTTCTTCCCACAACAGGCATTACTCCTAGTATGTGCATATTTGAAAAATATGAGTGGTCCATTATGAATAGGACCACACGTCATATTTCAAATATATCTTCCATTTTGGACAGTTGGGTTGCCCAATGGAACAATTTAAGCAAAACACTTACCATTTCATAAATACCTCTCAGACGTACAATTTGTTCTACCAACAAATCTGTCTTCACATCCAAATCCATGTTATCCTTATAGGCAGTGTCTATATCCTAAAAGGCATCCAAAGAAACATTGATGTTCAAGCACTTGGAGGGCAGCGGGTCTGTTGTTTGAAACAGGGGTGCATCAAAATTTTAGGACTTCACTGATCACTTTAAAAAAGGGTTCTGTGGGTTCTATTAACCTGCAAGTCGAAATTGTGGCAGACCAGTGAAGTTATTTGTTATTAATGCCTGTTTTATCCTCCAAAGTAGCCTTTTCCCTCTAATGCTGCAAGGTATAATTCCAGGCCAACCATTCCTTTGTTGTGTGCATGACTCAGAACAATTGGCCAACATTTCCTCAATAGGACAAAAGGAAATGATTCTTTCTTTACACCAAGAGATTAAAATGTGAAATTTTCTGCCAGAGGCTGTAATGACAGCCACAGAGATCAACAGCTTTAAAAGGGGATTGGATAGATTAGTGTAGGCTGGGTCTATTGGTGGATACTGGCCACGGTGACTGGAGGCCAGGAGGTAACATGGTGACAGGAGTCCTCTATGGCCTGCTGTTGGCCCTCCTGTGTGAGACAGGATGCTGGACTAGATAGACCATTCGTCTGATCCAGCAGGGCTTTTCTTATGTTCTTATATTCTTATGTGTGTTAACTGTAAAGAACATAAGAACATGCCAATGTTGGATCAGGCCAAGGCCCATCCAGTCCAACACTCTGTATCACACAGTGGCCAGAAATACCAGTGCCATCAGGAGGTCCACCAGTGGGGCCAGGACATTAGAAGCCATCCCACTGTTGACCCCCCCCCCAAGCACCAAGATGACAGAGCATCACTTGCCCCAGAGTCCCTATCTATACCTTGTGGCTAATAGCCACTGATGGACCTCTGCTCCATATGCTTATCTAATTCCCTTTTGAAGCCGTCCATGCTTGTAGCCGCCACCACTTCCTGTGGCAGTGAATTCCAAGTGTTAATCACTCTTTGGGTGAAGAAGTACTTCCTTTTATCCGTTCTAACCCGACCGCTCAGCAATTTCATGGAGTGCCCACGAGTTCTTGTATTGTGAGAAAGGGAGAAAAGTGCCTCTTTCTCTACCTGCTCTTTCCCATGCATAATCTTATAAACCTCAATCAAGTCACCCCTCAGTCGTCGTTTCTCCAAGCTAAAGAGCCCTAAGCGCCTTAACCTTTCCTCATAGGGAAAGTGTTCCAACCCTTTTATCATTCGAGTTGCCCTTTTCTGCACTTTTTCAAGAAATAAAGAAAGTAAAGAAAGTAAAGAAATAATCCACTTTGTAGAAAGTGATTTAACAGCTGGAGTAAAGGCTGAACAGTGCCATCTAAGCAGGTCTCCTCAGAATCCTGCTCAGGTCTATTCAGTGGTGGTTACTCCCAAGCTAGTGTTCTTAGAACTGCACTGTCTATCAGTTAGAACAAGTAACTGGGTTTATTTAGTCAGTTCATTCATGCATAGCCTGTCTTTCTCCCCAGTGGGGACCAATGCTCCCTCTAAACTCCACAGTGTTGTGAGCAAAAATTCTACCTTGTGAGCAAAAAACATTAGTAGCATTGAAGTTGTGAGTGAGTCTACATTTGACTATTGCATAAAACAGTTTTTAGAAGATTATTTCCATAACCTTGTAAAAATCTCAGAATGAATTCTTTTAAACTATATTTTAAGAATAATTTAAACATTATAAGAAAACACAGAATCAAGTTAAATTTCATTACAGAAAATGTTGTCCTCTATGAGGGTAGATCAGGCCTCTGGAGAATGGGTCCACCTTCCCCTTTCCACTATATTGGTAGACCTGGCCTCGGACCGTCGCCCTGTGCTGAGCCTTAGAAAACATACCGGGTCAAATATAACGGAGGTGGAACCATCACTGTCAGAACCCTGCTTAACCTAACAAACTGGAAGTTCCTTAAATGTTATCAATCTGTCCAAATTACTTCTTTATTCACATTTTATATTCCTATTTTCCTGTGACTCAGGGCAGCTTACAAATCATACTGAAAAACATAATAGGGGACCATTATAGTCAATGGGCTCCATAGGCTATAATAGAGAATTGATCTGGGGGGTATCTGGGGCTGTGGGGGTTGTTTTTTGAATTACAGACATAAAGTTTTCAGCATAGCTGCTGGTGCCTCTCCTCAGAAAACCCTCCAAGTTTCAAAAGGATTGGACGAAGCGGTCCAATTCTATGGGCCCCATCCTCCATTGTTTTCAGTAGAGGGAAAAAGGCTTGTGGGCAGGAAGCTGAAACCTGTGAGCGGCCAGCTAAAACTCTGTGCACCAGCACCCCCTAGCACAGCTTAGAGGGAACTCTGGGGGTACCAAAGTGGCTTACATGATGCTTTCCTCCATGTTATTCTCACAATAACTAGGGTTCCCATGTCTGAAAGACAAGCCAGCAGGGGACTTACAGAGATACTCCAGGAGAAGGGAGGGAAGAAACACGCTGTGCCTACATCACCTCTGGGTGACATAGGCACATCAGGAATATCAGGTGGCAATGTTTGGGTTTGGGGGCAAATCTCTATGGTTTGAAGCTAATTCTACCATAGAGTTTTGCCCAAAAACCAGAGTGTCACCCCCTAATGTCACTGACATGCTTACATCATTTCCGGGTGACATAGGCATGTCACTTTTGGGGGGATATGTCTCTCCCACCAGCCAGCTGGGGGGACATGGCAACCCTAGCAATAACCCTGTGAGGTAGGTTAGGCTGAGAGTGTGTGACTGGCCTCAGGTCACCCAGCAAGCTTCCATGGCAGGGTGGGGAATTCAAACATGGGTCTCCCAGATCTAATCCAACTAACCATTGTCTCACACTAGGTATAACTGGATACGAACACCAGCAGACAAAGAGCAAATCACATACCTTTTGTAAATAATAAAACATTAATTAATCACCAAGAAGTAAAATAGATATAAAACTGTAGTGAGACAGCCATAAAATAAACAAACTCAGAACATTTTAAAAAGGAGTTAGAAAGAAAGGATATGAACTCTCAAACCTTAAAGAAACTAAAATGAATTTCTAGGTTGGAACAGCCTTTTTTGAAGCCTCGTGTTGTTTTACACTGCAATCATAAGCAGAGTTACCCCCTTCTAAATCCATTGAAACCAGTAGCCTTAGAAGACTGTAACTCTGTTTAGGATTGCACTGTCAATCTTTAAATGGACAAAGTTTAAGTCCAGTGGCACCTTTAAGACCAACTAAGTTTAATTCTTGGTATAAGCTCTTGTGTGCACACACACACTTCTACAGAGACATGCACACAAGTGTGCATGCATATGAAAGCTTATACCTAGAATTAAACTTTATTGGTCTTAAAGGCGCCACTGGACTCAAACTTTGTTCTGTTGATTCAGGCCAACATGGCTACCCACCTGAATCTACGTTCAAAAGGGCTGAGATTATGGGGACTATTCAGATGCTCTTACGATTCCTGAGGAAGGGGAGTGCTGATCAACTAAGTACATTGTTGGAACCTTATCTCACATGGAGATATGAGCATGGGGTTCTGCACTCGGCATCAGCACTTGAATTTATTTTCAGTTTATGTGGGATTGCAGAGGCTTGAAACAGTGCCAACATGATTATGGAAATTATGGTAGCAACATACAGTCCTTGCTTAATTGTGCATAGTTTTGGTGTTTCAACACAGTACCAGCATCATCACACACCTACTGCTGACCACAATGGTTGCATGGATGACACTGCCACAGGAAGTGGTGGCGGCTACAAGCATGGACGGCTTCAAAAGGGAATTAGATAAGCATATGGAGCAGAGGTCCATCAGTGGCTATTAGCCATAAGGCATAGATAGGGGCTCTGGGGAAAGTGATGCTGTGTCTTCTTGGTGCTTGGGGGGGGTCAACAGTGGGAGGGCTTCTAATGTCCTGGCCCCACTGGTGGACCTCCTGATGGCACTGGTATTTCTGGCCACTGTGTGATACAGAGTGTTGGACTGGATGGGCCTTTGGCCTGATCCAACATTGGCATCTCTTATGTTATTATCATCTGAACTGAATCTGTGATCTGGAGTTGTTGTCTTTAGAATGTAACCAACTTTGAGCCTCAGGGGTGGTATGAGTGTGTATGTATCGGTCTATATATAAATTCAATTTTTTAAAATCTGAAACCTGTGGTAGATAAAATACTTCTTTGAACAAATGTCTCATTCTAAGGGAGTTCACCTTTATGTCAGAACAACCTAGTTCCACAGTAGATGGTTGACAATCCTGCTAATTTCAGATACCTTGGCTTTTGCTTGCAAAAAAATTTGAGATAGGCTTCTAACCTCATTTTTTAAATGTCTGACATTAGTTGCCTTTCTGCATTATTTACTGGCTTATATATGGATCTGTGTAGCCTTCATCCCATGCGGATAAGATCCCATGGTTGTTTCCATGTGTGGCCAACTCTTCCCAGTCCACAGCAGCTTTACTGTTACATGCAAGTAGGTGTGTGGTAAAACAATGAAATCACTGCTGCATTGCATCTTGAACTCTACCTATTCTACATGCCATTTTAGTAAACATATTCCACCTTTCCATTATAGCAACTGCAATCTTTTACCTTCTTGAGTGCTGCAAATTCATTCTCGGTGGCCAGGCGCTTGTTGTGTTCTTCTTTGTGTCTACAGTAGAAGATCAGAGTGGTTAGTGGGCCTGCGAATGTCAACTACAAAAGGCAATGAACTAATGCAAGAAAGCAAACATGTGGTACACAATAAGCCCATGATTATGAGGTTGACTACACATTTGGAATTTCAGATTTGTGGTAAACACAATCACAATTGTGGTAGATCCTCTTCGGAAGGATCACAAAATGGCATCAGGAGGAGAATCATATAGGCAAAGTGACAAACAAGCATGATCCCGCATAACAACAGACTGTAGGTTCATTAATATCAGCCCTGAGGCAAAGTGGCTGGTCCTTTAGACCACCTCTGGAGACTGCGTGGGACTAAGATCTATTTCATATCAGACAGTCTTAAGTGAGGGGCAGATTCAAGGAAGAATAAGAATGTTCTCATACACACCTTTACTGAAACTCATTTAAAATGAAATCAGTTTTTTCACCTGGATTGATAATAGGTTATAATCAGTGTATATCCTACCATGACCTCCCAGAAATCAGAAAACCTTGTTCTTCAGAATTTGAGAGTTGGAGCTGTATAACAGCCATGGGGTTAAACTACATGAAGCTAGAACTTCCTTATGTCTCCTCTGGTTGCTCTGGTGAAAGCCTAGCTTTATCTGGAAATGGAAATTGCTTCACTCTGCATTCATGCACCAAGCAGGAATTCCTGCCAATACTGTACTCACCAACTTCCCCATTCATCAAATAATTTGAATTGCGTCATCAGATCAAATCCTAAACCAATCCGAAGGATTTGCTCATGGGCAGTATCTTGCAACACTAAAGCAAGTTGTGCATTCCTCAACAGAGCTACATCCTTCTAAGCCCATTGACTTCAATGGACTTCGAAGGGTGTAACTCTTCTTAGGATTGAACTGTAAGACTGCAGGTGAGTGACATTTTGGAGAAAGCTTATTTTAAGGGTATGTGTGCACAATTGTCAACATGGTAACATTTACAGGAGTTGGCTAGTTCAGCGAATTTGCCATGTTGGAGAGGTCTACAAAACACTTTATTCATGTTTAGACTGAAGCTCCCAAAGATTGCTACATCTCCATCATTAGACCCAAAGTAGGGCACGAGCTGAACAATCGCATGCCACACCATTTGGCTCGGCACCCAAGGCCAGTTCTCCACACAAACAACCAAGGTGAAGCCTTGCTGTTTACAAGAAGACTGCAGGCTTGTGTTATGTCCATCGTCACTCTAAGGTCTGTACAGCCACTAGCTGGATCCAAGATGAGCTCATGAGGTACTGTAAGATGCCACTTGGGCTCAACGAGCTTTGAGTGAGTCTGGCCAAGAACAACTGCTGTCTCTTCTCTCCATTTCTTCTGCTTGTCAACACACCAACATCTGCATTAGTAGTTGCTGATTGGGGGTGGGAGGTTGGCAGTCATGTTTAAAAGGTTGCCTGCCATACATTAGTCTTTTATTGAACATGTTATCAATACAGGGAGCCCTGAAGTGGTCCAAAAACCTTTAGCATAGCTTATTAATATGGCAATTTTGGGCATTGAGAACATATTCTCAGTAACGGCCCTTTAAGTCAGGTCAGTGTTATTGTCCCCATTCTGCAGAGAGAGAGTAATTTACATTTAGGTGTGCTGAGAGCTTCATGGGGGACATGATTCCCAAAGATACCTTGTTCTAAGTCCCTATTCTGCATATGAGGCAAGCTCCAGATTGTATCACATCAATAGCCCTTTACAGATATAACCACACAGCCCTACAATGGGAGCACATGCCAGTGCATATGGTTGCCATTTCATCTGAATAAGACAAAATATGGATTTTCCATGTGTGTACAGTTTCAGTACATGCAAGCAAGAACCCTAACTTTCCAGGGTTTGTCTTTGTGTGTGTGTCCAAGTGTACATGTATGGAAAATCCATATTTTCCTATTTACACAAAATGGAGCCCATGCATATTGGGAGAATTGTGGGTACTGTGTGCTCTTGTCAGTGAGCTCCTGGCATATGCATTGCTGTAACATCTTTTTAAAAGGCCAATGTTTCTGGCAAAGTTCATCTCAAGCATAACCCCATGCCAAACAGCTTAGTGCCTACAGTGATAGCTCCTTGGCCATGGCATCTACTTTTTCCCATTCCAAGAATTGTATCATTTACCACAGAAGAAGAGGCAGTGTTCCCTGAGCTAATGGTGGTTCAGGTAATTAAACTGACTGACTTGTATAAAACATAGAACTACTTGCTTTTCCTAATCTCTTTCCACAAACACAATTGGATACATCCATTCAGTGACTGATACTGGGTAGATCGCCTGCTTGGTCTGCCTGTGAAGTCAGCAGTATCTGTTCAAGAAGTGATTGCAGGAATTGATCACAAGTTTAGCTAGGTTCATGGGTGAAGAGCAAAGATGTATCCCCAAATGCCCCTCCCCCCATGATTACAGGCCTGGGTGTTACCCTAAGCAGAGTTAAACCCTTCAAAGCCCAGTAACTTCAATGGACTTAAAAGGGTGTAACTCTGGGCCCGGTCACACGGGAGGCTTTGATCTGCAAGAGGGCGGATCGGGGGCGCATCAAGCGGGCGTGATCACACCACAACATCTGGGAAGCGGCGCACACCCGTCCCCGATCCGTCTCTTCCAGCTGAAGATGCAGATCAGAAAAAAACCTACGAAACACTAGTACTTACCGAAAAATCCACTGCAGGGACGGACGTGTGATCGCTGGCGTGCCCGTCTCTCCCGCAGCATGCGAGGTCCTGCTTAACTGCACATGCACATGCATGCGCAGTGAGCTTGCCTCGCTCTGCGGTCCGTGGCTTCCCCCTGGCATCTGATTGTGCCGGGGAGGAACTGCGTGGCGGCTGGGGGGATCTGTCTGATCCCGCCGCCGTGCTTCTCATTTGGTGCGGCTCAAAATAGCCGCACTTTGGCCGCGCCTATTTTCCCCAGTGTAACCGGGGCCTCTGTTTAGGATTGCACTGTGAGACACCTAAGCAGTAAGTCTCAACTAAAAATATATTATATGGGGGTTTTTTTCTTGCATGATGTGCTTTTTGTAAATGAGAGGTATGAGATGGATGCTGCCAGAAAGTCATCTATTCTTCTAAGAAAGCAAAAAAACAGACACATCTGAAGTTGCTCAAAATGCTTGCCAAATGATCAGTTCCTAGCTTACAACCAGTGAGCAGGACATAAGCTGAACTGGCAGTTTTTGTGCATAATTACTTACATCAGGCCACTTAGTAAATATGTACCAGAGACAGGATTTGAACTGCAGACTCATGTTTCACACTTCAATTCCTTCACTGCATTGCTCCATGAATGTATAACATTTATCTGTGATGCTGCTAATCCTGTTTCTCCCAACCCTTCTCCACCCCCTGTAACATATTGCATAATAGCACTGATTGCAATTTCTGCACTGCATCAGCTGATGGGGTTGGTACACTCTTCATAAGACTCTATCACTTTAGAATGTGGGTAGAGAGAAGACTGTTTCAATACTCCCCCATGAAAATACAACAACAACAAAACCCTTTCATGTGCAAGCTTATGGAAGCATCTAGCCTAACCATGTCAACAGTCATACTCATTCTCTATGTGCAGGGTGTTATTATTTGTTCTACACTGGGGAGCAGTCAACCTTGAAATTCCATCAATGGTGCAGCTCCAAAAGGATTATATGTATGCTTTTTCTGAATATTTGAATGGTTCACACTGATTTTCCAAGGCAGAGGCTCATGGGGTCACTTAAGTACAAAATTCTAGCACCGTAGGATTTTGAGCCCGCATAATTTAGCTGTCTGTGTCGTGTATCTGAAACTGACCTGTCTATGTACCGCTGTTTGGAATGAGCTAGGAATCCAATCCTATGCAAAGTTGTGTGCGTGAGTGTGTTAAGTGCTGTCAAGTTGCTTTTTCTTGCATGATGTGCTTTTTGTAAATGGGAGGTATGAGATGGATGCTGCCAGAAAGACATCTAATTTTCTAAGAAAGCAAAAAACCAGACACATCTGAATTGGCTACCCCCCGGCATCTGATCGTGCCGGGGAGGAACTGCGCGGCAGCTGGGTTCCCGCCGCCATGCTTCTCTTTTGGTGCGGCTCAAAAAAGCCGCACTTTGGCCGCGCCTATTTTCCCCAGTGTAACCGGGGCCTCTGTTTAGGATTGCACTGTGAGACACCTAAGCAGTAAGTCTCAACTAAAAATATATTATATGGGGTTTTTTTCTTGCATGATGTGCTTTTTGTAAATGGGAGGTATGAGATGGATGCTGCCAGAAAGACATCTAATTTTCTAAGAAAGCAAAAAACCAGACACATCTGAATTTGCTCAAAATGCTTGCCAAATGATCAGTTCCTGGCTTACAACCAGTGACCAGGACATAACCTGAACTGGCAGTTTTTGTGCATAATTACTTACATCAGGCCACTTAGTAAATATGTACCAGAGACAGGATTTGAACTGCAGACTCATGTTTCACACTTCAATTCCTTCACTGCATTGCTCCATGAATGTATAACATTTATCTGTGATGCTGCTAATCCTGTTTCTCCCAACCCTTCTCCACCCCCTGTAACATATTGCATAATAGCACTGATTGCAATTTCTGCACTGCATCAGCTGATGGGGTTGGTACACTCTTCATAAGACTCTATCACTTTAGAATGTGGGTAGAGAGAAGTCTGTTTCAATACTCCCCCATGAAAATGTACAACAACAACAAAACCCTTTCATGTGCAAGCTTATGGAAGCATCTAGCCTAACCATGTCAACAGTCATACTCATTCTCTATGTGCAGGGTGTTATTATTTGTTCTACACTGGGGAGCAGTCAACCTTGAAATTCCATCAATGGTGCAGCTCCAAAAGGATTATATGTATGCTTTTTCTGAATATTTGAATGGTTCACACTGATTTTCCAAGGCAGAGGCTCATGGGGTCACTTAAGTACAAAATTCTAGCACCGAAGGATTTTGAGGCCACATAATTTAGCTGTCTGTGTCATGTGTATCTGAACCTGACCTGTCTATGTACCGCTGTTTGGAAAGAGCTAGCAGTCCAATCCTATGCAAAGTTGTGTGCATGAGTGTGTTAAGTGCTGTCAAGTTGCTTCTGATTTGGTTGCAGTCACACACACTAAATAAGCCACTTTCAATGCACTTTCCAACTGGATTTTTACTGTGTGAACTGGCAAAATCAAATTTGAAAGTGGATTGGAAGTGGATTGAAAGTGGATTGAAAGTGGATTGAAAGTGGACTATTTAGTGTGTGTGACCGCAGCCCTATGGTGACCAATAACCTCCAAAATGCCCTATTGTTAATAGCCTTGCTCAGGTCTTGCAAACTGAGGGCTGTGGCTTCCTTTACTGAGTCAGCCAATGATTTCAAATGGGCCTTGAATGGAGTAACTTTACATAGGCTTACACGGTAAATTTCCTGTACTCCCCTACTGTTCCCTTCTTCCCGTATTACTCACCTCTTCTCACAGTCTTCTGTGATTGCCTGCAGTTGCCGGAGTTCCCATAGCAGCTGTCCCTTCTGCCCTTGCACCGTACCTAGCAGCATCCTCATGTCTTGCATATAAGACTGGAAAAGGGATTCCGTATTTCGAAGACTCTTTCTTTCCAAGCGCTGTTGCTGTAGCAACTCCCATTGGGTTGACAGCGCAGTATTCCGCTGCTCTAGGATGTGTACCTGGAATTCAACACAATGAAAATATTGAAAATACTTGGGGTGAAGGAGAGGAAAAAAGAATCCTAATTTGAATATGCTTGCAAAAAATTCAAATGTATTTTCTTCAGATTCAGTGTCATGGTATAATTTGAGTTAATCATTTTAAACATCAGTGTTATTGCTTGCTTGATTTTTTTCTTTCTAAAACCATTTTTTGTTGTTGTTCAGTCGCACAGTCGAGTCCGACTCTTTGTGACCCCATGGACCATTAAAATCCAACAAAAGCAATACTAGTGAATCCCAAAGAAAAGACAAGTTAGAAAGAATAGTAATTCAAATTTGGCCTAACAAACCTACTATACTCCCTTGTAACAATGATTTGCCAAACCTTTTTTCAAGAAATGAAGAAAAACTTGCACAGATCACACACACAATACAAATAACTTATTTATTTATTTACTTCATTTGTACTATGCCTTTCTTCCCAATTGGGACCCAAAGCAGCTTACGGTATTCCCCCTTCCTCCGCTTTATCTCCACAACAACCCTGTGAGATAGGTTAGGCTGAGAGTGTATGACTGGCCCAAGGTCACCCAGCAAACCTCCATGGCAGAATGGGGATCTGAACAGGGGTCTGCCAGATCCTAGTCCAGCTCTTTAGCCATTACACACTTAGTGGATAAACACGTAGCTTTTTCTTGAGTTCTTCATAAATTGGTAATTTATGTTAATGCATATATCAAGATGTTCTTTTATATGGTAGTTTTTATAAATAAAACTGCAAACTCCCCACCTTGTTGATACAGGAATCACATTGTCTCTTGAGGTTCTTGATCTGTTCTTTCTCTTCCATCTGAACTCTCTGGATCTCTGGATCAGTGTCCACTTTTACCGGGTTCTGGAGACTCTCATTGATGTGTACTCTTTGGGTCCTTCTTCCTTGTCCAATGTCACAAATATTGCCTCTTCTTCCCAAATGACCACCAAGGCTTCCTCCTCCAGAACATCTTCCATGAGCCCCAAGGTCCACATAATTATTTTCACATTTCTCACCTTGGTCTCGGCTACTGTAAGTTTCCCTATCTCCATAGCCTCCTGTGTCACCATTACTTTCTCCACTGTGACCTCCACCCTTTCCACCACTGTTTCCTCTACTATAATCATCAAGTCCACCAAGACCTCCCAAACATCTGCTATGACTCCTTCCCGCAGCACTTCCAGGGTTTTTGCCACCATGACCCATTCCTCCACTTGAGCCACTGCCACCTCCTAGGTCACTTCCGTGATAACTATCACCACTGAAGCATCCTCTACAACCACTACGATGAGCTCTGCCACACTGGTTTGCTCCACTATAATTCCCACCACCAAAACTTCTACAGCTCCCTAGTACCCCTCTTCTTCCAAAACCTTGATAATCACCAAACATAGGGTTCCCTCTGTCGACACTTAGGTTCTGCAGACTCTGGCTTCTGTGCCTGCCACATCTTCCTCCTCCAATATGATATCTTTCAGAAAGGCGAAAGGCAGATGAGCAATTCCTGACTCCAAACGGATAACCTAGAGTGGAGCAAGAACTGAAGTCGTGTCTCCTGCCTGGAGATCTGAAGCTGGGCAGCTGATAGCCCATTGGAATCCCTTGGGAAACAATTGAGTGGAACATGTCATTTGAGTGAAAGCCAAGGAGTAGAAGAAACGTACAGCTTGAAGGATGCTCAGCACTTCTACTGTATCACCTGAACATTCCCTTTTATATCAGCTAGAGGTGTTGAAGTCAGGTAGATAGCAGCCTAGAGATTAATGATGGGCATCAGTGGGTTTGGCTTCCATAGCAGAAACTAATATTTTCCTTTCCAGACCAGCCACCAGAATAAACACACTCAACCAATGTAACAGTTATGAAATTTTCGCAACATCATGACCCACAAAGGCCTGGCTCAAAAGCTTTGATGTTCGTATCATGATGGCTTTATCAATTACCTGCTTCCACCAAAATAATTATACTCCAGCAAAATAATCCGTGCAAGATATAAATGGATTAAAATGCATGACACCAACTGGCTATGCAAGAGGAAACTCCTTGTGTAGGACCTATCCTTTGTGTCTCTGACACATATGGACAAAGGCCAAATGCAAACTGTTTACGGGGGAAAAAAGGGTTGTCCATCCCACATTGAAATTTCTCCCACATTATGACATGCAGAACCAGTCTTCATACTGCTCAGTCTTGTGTCGTAATCCTCATTCACTCTGTCCTGCCACCACTCTTTTGAATTTTCTGATCAGATATGGATGCTAGTGCTGGATCTGGACTACCAGTCACTGTCATAATCAGTGGTCCTGTTGGAGAATCCACCAGATTTGTTTAACTCCTAGTTTCTCAGATTGTATGAAGGGGGAGGTCTGTGTGTGACACAAACCTAAAGAGCAAATTCCACAGAGTCCAATAAGACTTTCCTTACCCACTAGCTAAGAATGGAATAGGTTGGTTGTTCCTTGATAGAGCATCTCCATTGTTCTGTAAGTAATGCATATGGGGGATATGCCTAATTAGGTAACTGCATAAATCAGTTTAATCTGGAGCCCTCCTTCCTGAGCTGAGAGAAAAACATGTGAGCCAGAAGCTAAGAAACTGTGAGCCAGATCACACTAACTCAGCTTAGAGGGAACACTGCTCACTAGCTAAGAATGGAGTGGGTTGGTTGTTCCTTGATAGAGCATCCCCATTGCTCTGTAAGTAATGCATATGGGGGAACTAGTATATGCCTAATTAGGTAAGAAAGGATATAAGAAATTTTTCTTGTTTCCCTCTGTCAGACTTATTCTATTTTATTAGTTCACTGGTATCATATAATCAAAATCCATCAAAATTTTAACAAGAATATGCCAACAAATATGGAAAACAAAACAATGGCCACAGACTAGAAATGCTCGATTTACATTCCAATTCCAAAAAAAGGAGACGTCAAAGACTGCAACAACTATCTGGCCATCACACTAGTTTCTCCTATGAGTAAAGTGGTACTCTAAATCTTACAACAAAGATGGCTACTATATGTGGAATGAGAAATGCCAGATGTTCAAACTGGATTCAGAAAAGGAAGAGGCACTAGAGATCATATTGCAATTTGTGTTGGTTATTGAATTTCAGAAGAAAATGAGCTTGTGGTTCATAGATTACAGGGAAGCCTTTAACTGTGTGGATCATGAAAAACTATAGTTGGTTTCAAAAGGAATGGGTGAGCATGGCATCTGATTGTTTTGATGTGCAACCTGTACTCCAGACAAGAGGCTACTGATAGGACAGAAAATAGAGAAACAGAATGGTTTCCAGTTGGCAAAGGTGTCAGACAAAGATATATTTAATCTCTTCAATCTATACGCATAACATATCATAAGGAAAACTAGATTAGATTTAGAGGAAGGTAGAGTGAAAACTGGTGGAAGGAACATTAACAGTTTGAGATATGCAGATGACACCACATTACCAGCAGAAAACAATGAAGACCTGAAATGACTCCTGATGAAGGTTAAAGCAGAAAGTGCCAAAGCAGGATTACAGCTGAACATTCTGGGAGACAAAAATAATGACTACTGGGGAATTACACAACTTTAAGGCTGGCAATGAAGAAATTGAAATTGTTCAAGATAGTCTATTCCTTGTCTCTATCATCAACCAAAGGAGAGAAAGCAACCAAGAAATCAGAAGAAGACTGAGACTGGGAAGGGCAGCCATGAAGGAGCTAGAAGACATTCTGAAGTATAAGGATGTGTCACTGGTGACTGAGATCAATTTAATTCATTACTAGTATTCACTATTATTATGTATGGGTGTGAAAGTCAGACACTGAAGAAAGCTGACAGGAAGAAAGTTGATTCACTTGAAATGTGGTGTTGGAGGAGCGTATCATGGATACCATGGACCGTCAAAAAGACAAATCGGTAGATTCCTGATGAAATCAAGCCTGATCACTCCCTAGAAGCTAAAATTACTAAACTGAAGCTATTATACTTTGGTCACATTATGAGAAGACAAGGATCACTGGAAAGACAATAATGCTAGAAAAAGCTGAAGGCAGCAGGAAAAGAGGATGACCCCACACAAGATGGATGGACTCCTTTATAAAGGAAGCTGTTGCTCTCAGTTTGCAAGACCTGAGCAAGGCTATGGTATTCTGGAGGACATTAATTCATAGGGTCACCATAAGTTGGAAGCGACTTGACAGCACTTAACACACACATACACATAACACCTTCATATATCTTAAACAGTAACAGACTGAAGCAACTCTTAAAGTGGAGGAAGGCTTTAAAAAGATGAACCACTAGAACTGGATGAAATAAGAATTTAATTTTTTAAAGAAATGATTTAAATTGAGATCTTCTCCTACTAAACTAACTCCTATCCCACATTGTGGATATCTGCCACTTGGACTGGTGGTGGATTCACCATTTGTCCCACTGGGCAGGTGACCCTCTTAGAATAAACTGGGGCTCAGGAAGAAGGAGGAGGAGGAGGAGGAGGAGGAGGAGGAGATTGGATTTATACCCCGCCCTTCACTTGGAGTCTCAGAGCAGCTTACAAACTCCTTTCCCTTCCCCTCCCCACAAGCAATGTCTTCTTGTCCTCCTTAAAGGCCACCCAACTGTAAACTGAGAACAGGGGAGGGATCAGACTGAGTTTTAAAAGGCTGAACAACATGATTTACTTGCAACATGCCAAGGGCGTAGACATTACTGCACAACAATTATGTGCCATTTTTGTTTTCATTTTCAAAGCTTTGTTTATTTTTATTGTAGTTATTATTTTTGGTTACCATGATCTGTTGTCATTCCCATTGGTTTCAGTGGGAAAGCTACTACCTCTTCCTGTTCCTCTTCCCAACCTCCCAACAGCATTCACTGTGCTGCAGGGTGGGAGGTCTGCTACAGCAAATAACATGAACTTCCAGTGGCGGTGTCAGGACAGGACCCTGCCCTGATGCAGTAACATAACCAAGGCCCCTGTCACACTGAGAATTTGCCGCACGAAAGGCATGAATGCTGGGCAGATTTTCGGGGCGTGATCACACCGCAACATCAGGCAAGCATAGCACACCCATGGCCAACTCGTAGCGTGCCACCGAAGATGCGCAGTGAAAAACTACCTGCAAAGATCTACTAGCAAATGGTTTGCCACGGGCTGCAGATGGACTCGTTCGGTGTGATCCACAATCAGGCATGGGGTATGATATCAAAATCCACCTTCAAATCAATGAAGGCAGCAGCAAGGATCCCCCCACTTTTGGTTGTATATTTATTGAATTCAGGAAAACCTTCACCTGCCGGTTTCTGATTTCTCTTAAAATAGAATCCTTGCCAGAAATAAAGGAAATGTAGAGTGAAATATACACTCTAAAGCCACTAAATCCAAGGGATTATACTAGTTTGAGATCACCTGAAGGATCCCTGTTTCAAATACCACTAGTTTCTACATGTGGCTGGGCCTTTTCTGTGGCTGCCCTAGAGCTTTGGAATGCCTTCCCCTGAAAACTAGAAATGGAAAGGTGGAAACTCTCCCAAAAAGTCTTTAAGACAAACAAAAAATATATTGAATATGTAACCACATACAGCATTTCAAAAGAATGTAATGCACATCATACAATCACACAAACCACAAAATGATGATTCTTAAAGTGATGCAATCCAAAATAGTCCACAAGCACAAGCCCTCCTAGGGGCAATAACAGTCCATAGAGAAAAAAACTGTCCAGTATACCCCCAACAGTATCGTATATAATCTTAAGACCGTTTCGAAGACAATCCTTCATCAAAGGGTATAGTGAGCCAAGGTAGGTACCTGTGAATGAAAATACCAAAAAAAAACCACCCCAAAGAAAAGACAACTCCTTGAAAAGAATTTTTTTAATCTTACAGACATATTAAGAATCAATAGACTATACTTACAATAACCATGCACACATCAAAATACTGTTTCATATTAAGTGGAGTCCAAGTCCTCTTAGCATATTCACAACACAATGGTATCAAGTCTAGCAGACAAAAAGACTCTTAAGTTAGACATTCCAGCTAGTGGCATGATATAGTAAAGGGCAAATTGTCTCAGCTGTGTCTGATTGTAATGGCATCACAGATGTCTTAAAGGGATAAAGGCATCATTAAAGAAAACAGGACAAGTCATTATGTTGATTAAGACCTGTTGGCTCCAAATACTTAAATATGTGAATAAAACATGCCTCCTGTTGGTAAAGAATTTTTTCAGCATCTATCCTATCCTATTA